ATTTTCAAAAATTCTAAAACAATATTTTGGTGTTAAAGTATATATATATATATATATTTTATAAAAAAAATTAAAAGATAAAAACAAAAAATAAAAACAACACCAAACAGACCTAATAATAACGTAAGTGATTCTGTACTCTCTTTGCCCCATGTGTAAAAATTTCCTTCTACCTCTTCATGTATCAGTTTGAGTTTCAATTTTAGCTAAAATGTAAAACTTCAAAGCTTGTAGAAACCACATTAATTTTTGAATGTATTTTGTTCCAACATCAAATTAATAAGCAAGCGACCATTTGTTGGAGTAAATCACACAACCCTCCAGATTCAGAATTTGTGCATATAAATTTGCCGAGAAAAATAATGTGTGATTTATATTTAATTCTTTCATTAATAAATTTTTTATGAGTATTATTATTTAAATTCAAAAATTAAACTCACTTTGTAAACTTAATGATATGACATTCTATTAAAATATTTAAGTCAATTCTAAAAAACGGGTCTACAAAATAGACTTGTAACCATTCTTCATTTCGTATAGAAAATGAATCTAAATTACGAATATTTTTTTAAAAAATATTTTCTATGCATGAATTCTAAATTCGTAATAACTCTCAAAGGCCTAATTACTGGGTTAACCTTTGGGATTAGATCCTATAAGGAATCGAGTCCCCAGAGGTCACTTTTAGGTAATTTCTACATAGTAAGGTCACTCAATCATATAGCGGTAAACGCATATGTAGAAATTCGAACCCACAATTTGACCAAACCTAAAAAGTTTGTCATACCAATCATATGCACTGTCATTCGGGTAATTGGCTCCAAAAAAAAAAATTAGAATCTAAGGCGTCACAACTTATATCCCAAATTAGGGTCATGCTTAAGTGTGCAACCCCCTTAAGGTTGCTGTTTATCATACCAATCATATGTACTGTCATTCGGGTAATTGGCTCCAAAAAAAAAAAAAAAAGAATCTAAGGCATCACAACTTATATCCCAAATTCTTATCAAAATGCCACACCCCATTGGTTCCGTAAACTCTCAAATGATAGCAAAAGGTACATACCAATTTTGTATCCTTTAAAATTAATAAAAAATTATTGGTTGGTCTAAGGTGCTATGTGGATATACTCTTCACTAATTACAATTCACAATATTTTCTTTAATTCCTTAATCACCCCCACTTACATTTATAAGTCTCACTCATTTTACCAATTATAATATTGTGAGCACCACGTAACGATAGCTTAAGACTAACCACTAACTTCTTGCAATCAATAATGCCACCTGGTACAGATTGTGAGTCAATTTGGGAATTTGGCTAAAGCCAATTATCTGTTTTTGGTTATATCACCTCTCTATTTTTTTATTTTTTTTGCATTTTTTTTTAAAAAAAATAAAAAATAAAATAAAAAATCAATTTTTAATCTATTTTTCCAATTAATCCCGCGTCTTTCTTGGAAAGACTCTATGTGCTTGACTTAGCATTTATTTTGTGCATTTTTTATTGTAAAATTTATTTTATTTTTTATTTTTGTGTGCTCACTTGTCTTCACACCTATCGAAGGTACCAAGCAATAACCTGCTTCACTGTGCTTCACTTTGCATTTACTTTATGCATTTTTTATTGTATATTTTATTTTATTTTTTATTTTTGTGTGTTCCTCACTTGTTTTCACACCTATGGAAGGTGCCAAGCAATAACCTGCACCTGCTTGATTTTATCCTGTTTGAGAAGTTCAGTATTTTAATAGGTTATTTTAATAGTTATTTGCTTTTAATTAAAATAGTTGTATTTAAAAAAATGATTGAATTTTTTTATAGTTAGATAAGGATGTTTGTGAGAGAAAAAATAAAATAATTATGAATTTGATGTAACATTTTGTCTTATTAATTATTTAAACTTATTTTGTCTTTTATTGCTATTTTAACATAAAAAACCAAAAAAAATCTCTTCCTAAACACCCTTTGGGTTGTTTTGAAAAGTTGATTAAAAATTAATTTTTTTATTTTTTATTTTTAAAAAGAATATGCAAAAAAAATAGAGAGCCTGAGTCTTTGATTCTTCCTAAAGATTTTCAAAAAATAATTTGGTAAAAAAAAAATTAAAAAATACATAATACTTTTTTCTTTTTTGGAGAGAAAATAATTTTTTTAAATAATTTTTTTATTTATTTTTGTCAAACTAATTTTTAATTTCTCAAAAAAAAAAAAAAGTTAGAGAAAAAATAATTTTGTATCCAATGTTCTGGTTCCTTTCAATTGTCATTTCGGGGTTAGACTTGTCAATAGTGACAATATGGACGGATCTATGATTGTGTCTATCCACACCAACATCACACACAATTATTCAAGGAAAAATAATGGCAGACGGTGCCAGAAAATAAAAAAAATAAAATAAAATTAATGCAAAAATTTATATACTTTAATAATTATTAAAATGTTATATTTTTTTTATTAAGTTGTAAAAAATTTCTCCCTGCTCTACTGTCAAATAATTCTCCCATTATTTAAGGAATTAGCCAAAAGGAAATTATTCAATATTCCCGAAATATCACTTGTTTATGCTCTTTAACCAATCATCATTTAATATATCTCTCATGTTTCTCAACATTTTCTACCAATTACAATGTTATAAAATATCACGTATCTATACTGCGAAATTACTAAATAAGTACCCTTAGCCAAGACTTTTTTATTGTCAAGTGTCAGTTGGATTCCTCAACTAAAAAAAACATATAATTAGACCCATTTAACTATCAAAATATGAAATCAAAAACAAAATAAAAAACAATATCAAAATGTATTACATCATACACCCCTTCCATCCTTTAGCTACAAGTAAATAGGCCAATTTCGGCAACTTTAATTTTTTGAGATCACATTATCTCCTTACTTTTTTATACATTAAAATAATAATAATAATAATAATAATTCAAAAAATCAATTTTTAACCTACTTTTACGTCCAAAGTATCCTATAGTAAAGGGCTTAATTACATGAAAATCCCCTAAATTATCATAAAGTATTACTTAACCTACTAAATTATAAAAACATACCATTAGACCTTCAATGTCACACTCTTTTTGGTGTCATTATGGAAACGATGATACAACCAAATTATCCCCCTTTGTTTTTTAATCTCACACACCCATTCTCTATTTGAAATTCATTGGAAACCATTTTTTTTTTAAATATTTTTTGATGATTTTTTTTTTTTTTTTTTTTTTTTAATTGGGTTGGGTTGAGATTTTTATAGCTAGGATTTCTAATGAATATATATATTGCAATAATTTTTTTTTGGCACCACCTATCTGCTATACATGGGCAATTCAAAATTGGACATAGATATGTTCAATGTGTTGCAGCAACTAAACATATCAATGAATGGTTGAGATCAAGGGCATCTTGATTAGAGAAACCTGATGAAGCAATACAGCATCTTGAAAGTGATCTTATTTCATCTACAAGTGGAGGAAACAGAGGAAGTAAAAGGTTCTACATTCTAGCAGATAAAAGATTACACCCTGGTCAGCCTTCAGGCTTAGTAGTTTAAGCCATTAATTGAAAGTTATACAATCACACATTACACTGAAATTTTGTTGTCAAAACCAGCGTTCTTAATTTTCAGATATAAAATGAACTAAGGTGCCTGTCAACCAGAGGAGGGGAGGGGAGGGGAGGGAAGTGAAGGAATGAACAAGCCACCAAGGCTGAAATTTTATGAATGTAATGCATCAAGTATATGCACATGTACCGTAATGTATGTTTATATTCAGGAGTCTCCCTACGATTGCAAGTAAGTCTGGAAAAGGAAGCCAGTCCTAACTTCCTCGGAGAAGACTGCAAAAACAACCGTAACAACAAACTTGAACTTTATGCTTCACAGAACTAAAAACTATCTGTAGCTTTCACCACCATGAACCATACCTGCGACCACACATCAATTTTAGTTTTAAATAAAAAGGGCAAAATAAAAGACAAAACAAAGAAGGAATTACTTGACTTGTTAAGTTCAATCGCCTCTTAAACTTTGGCAAGTAAGCAACGACAAAACTTTTACAAGTCCTCAAGAGACCTATGCCAAAAATGCAGCGAAGGGATCATCAAAATTCTAACAGTATTGGAACACTTATATAGGTTATAGGATGGCCTGCACTGCATATAAGTAAAAGTCATGTGACTAAAATCATCAAACGTAGGTTCCACAACTTCACTAGCAAAATCTCAGTTATGGAGTTAGGATAGTTGCCTACTCAAATGCACATACCACTCCATATAGCTTATCCTCTATTTGTGCATCATTTCTAGTTGTATATATGTTAAACAATTGCATGTCAAAAAACAAAAACAAAAAATCGACAGTCAATTCACAATTGTGTATTTGATCTCCGATATAACTTTGCCTTAAAGAACAATAATTATAGCTAGTAAAATACTAATTGCCAGCCCTAATAACAAATGTTCATAATTTCTAACAGAACAAGACTACTAAGCCAAAGTTGCTTCTTGTATTCTCCATCAAATTTCATTTTTAGCAGAAGTACTATGAGTTCAGAAAGTTTTTTACTTCAGCATAGTCTGGTTACTAGTTGGGAGGAGATTTGATTCAAAACTATTATATGTCCAAGGGATTTTGATTTGCATGTATAAGATCTAACTAATCTAGTTAAAGGTTATAGTCCAACACTCCTGTAACAACCTCAAAAACTAGCTGTTTAGTAACTGTTTATAAGTTTATGGCACTTGATGTCAGTGAATCTGGAGGTTAAAAGAGATAAATTTTTATATGAAGTGTAACCTATGAAGCACTGACACTTCAAAATAGATGTTGCGTCCATGTTGGACACATATAGGACACCAACACCCTGAGACACACGTGTCCACGTATCAGACACACCATGTGGCGTGTCCATTTTTAATTATTATTTTTTGAGGGCACTTCACGGACACGTGCTTCCTCTGCTTGGAAGTGAAAAAAAATAAAAATACTGCTACATATACCTTTGTGCCTTACATATATAATTGCCCTAAATTTATATTCATATATATAGCAAATACACACATAAAAAAAAAAATTCTTTCGTCATATCTCCAACATGTCTGTATTTTAATTTTTCAAAATTGTCATCTTTGTGTCCATATCCGCATCCATGCTTCTTAGACTGTCATTGCATCTATTGTTTCCATTGTCTTTGTTCACTTGATTCCTCCTTCAAAACATGCTGGCCTATTTGACTACTTAAGAAAGAAAAAGAAGTTCAAAACCAACAAAAGATAACATAAATATGGAACAAAGTATGGAGCAATGGCTTAATATCAACACAGACAATAACAATGATATAATAACAAAAGTTTAAGGACTTAAACCTGTAAATCATTGACAAAAAGATCTGCGTAGAACTGTCAATTAACATTTTTATATGACGGCTAAATTAGAAGCAAATGAGATGTACCTTATGATATGCTGCTTAGCCAATGATTACACAATCCCACAGGAAAAATCAGTCAGGCTTCTGATCAAACAAACTCATACAAAAAAGAATTCAGGTTGTAGAAACAATCAGCTGAAAGAGCGAAAAATAACAATCATGCATTTTCCAGATTGTCTAAGAGAATCAATAATTAAACAGCAGATAAAGACTTACCTCAGTAAATTCACCTGCATTAGAAGCAATTGGTATAAATACACTGCAAATGAAGTTTGAACATATATTTTCTTCTGCCTCTTTTCTTGTTCCAGCTGAATGGATTGATTAGAAGAATAAAACTAAGCTAAAACATCATATGTTTGAGATTTTTCAACAATAATTTGAAAGGCGGAGAAGAAAAACTTAAGGAAAACATTACTCAAAAATGCAATCTAAGTCATTCTCGTAGATCCTAACATCAGCCAGCTGTGATAAAACAATCAAAAGTTCAACAAATCACAAGAAAGCAACATCTTTCCAATTCAAAGAGAATCCATGTCAAAAGGGCAGATTACATTTATCAAGGACAAATGACAGCTTTCTTCACAATCTATTCAGACAAAAAAGGAAGAAATTTAAATTTAAAAAAAAAAAAAAAACCACCCACAAAAATTGGGAATGACTGTTGGATGTTGAGAAGAAATCTACATTTCACTGCCCCTATTTAGTTTTCCAGTGTGCAAAGTATGAGTTTATTTGATTGAAAGCAATAATAACAACACTTTATCTTTTTGATGCTTTCAACAACTAATTTCATCATCCAATTTCCCTAGACTTGTTAAATAAAAGGTCCCAAATGCAGTTACATTAGACGTCAAGCTGTACATCACAAACCTAAGACTCACTGACATTGTTAGGAGCCAAATTCAAAGTGATTTCATTGTTGTTAGCTGGCATTTGTTGCACATTCTCAAGAAGCTGTGTAAGTTCATTATGAACATAATTAAAGCGTTCCTTGGAGATCAATGATTCAGAGAAAAGAGTTGCAGTAAGAGAATGAAAGGCTTGAGAACACTCGTCGTTGTTGCATTGAATGATTGGATCATCCACAGGAACTAAGGAACTCTCAAGTCTCCATCGAAGCGGAAAATATTTTACAGGGATTTGGAAGTGGTTCTTCAGTACAAATACCCGTATAGAGTGTCTGCATAAAATGCCAGAATGTTCAAATTCCTTACAAGAACAGTGAACTTGCTCCTCTTCTGGTATCCAAAACACAAGAGACTCTCCTTCCATTTTCTTGTAGTGTCTCAAAAGAAATGAACCATTAGCCATTTCTGTTGCTGCGTACTGCATAGACAGCACAATTTCATGTTGTAATGCATTGAAGGCAAAAGGTGTAAGCATACTACGTGCATGTTCTTCAACAGGGAGGCATGTTTTAATGGGCATATATTGCGGCTCACCCCGGGTCTGATACTGAAAGTTGGCAGCAGTATGAACCTGAAAAAATCCCAACCCTGTAATAAATAAAATTGAATAAATGATGGTTAAAGTACTTGAAAAGAAAAAGAAAGTCAAGTAAATTGTATGCCTGTTCAAACAGGACTTGCAAACATGTTTGTGCGCTCAAGATACTCCTCAAGAATGTGTCCACAGATTTCGAATACTCGGGTGTTCTGGTGCGAGCTAGAAAGTAACCTCTAATATAGGAAAATGGCCAGGATGCTCGAAAAGAAAAGAGTAGAGCTATGTGCTTATCTGAACCAAGTCCAAACCGAGCAACAAGATTATTCCACTGGTGTTCAAAATCCTCTGCATTCTCTAGATGACACAAAATATCAAACTCGGATTTGAATTCTTCAAACTGCGAACCAAGTGCCAAAGAGAACCAACTAGATACTTTGGATAGAATTTGCCATAGACATATGACATGTTTAGTATTTGGCAACTCAGTTGCCATAGCATCTCTAAGCCCCGCATCTATATCAGTTACAATAGTCTCTGGCCGTCTTCCTCTCATGAATCGAATGAAAGTCTGCTAAAAAGAAAAAAACCATAAGAAGAAATTGAAATATAGACAGAGAATGATCACAAGGAATTTTGTCCACAAACCTGTAATGCCCAAGAAAATGACTGCGAATTTTCATCTTGTATCAGAACACACCCGAGGAAAATTGCCTTGCCGTGATTGTCAATGCCAAACCACACCCCAAGAAGCATATTATAAGTGATAGAGCGATATGTGGTGTCAAAAGTGAGGACATCACCAAAGACTGCAAATGCACGAACAGCGTCCCCATATGACCATGCAATGTTTTCAATTTTTCCATTTTCATCTTTGGTAAAATTGTAAACAAATCCTTCATCCTTCCCCGCCATAGCATTGCAAGCATCGAGAAGTTCTAACATATCATTTTCTCTTTTCTCAGTGAGCAATGCATCATTTTCTTGAACAGTTTTCTTACACGTCCTAATAAAATTCCTAACATCTTTCTCTATAAAGGGCAACTGTCCTGGTTGAACTCCCTTTTCTATTTCTAACACCTTCACGATCCGATTCACCGGAAACCCAGCTTTAGAGAGCAAAAGAATGCGTTCCTGATCATCCTCTTGTATTTTTCTATAGGCAGGAAGAAGGCGAACTTGGTCATCTTCCAGTAACTCATGGTTATGAACATTACTGAATTGTGAAATGTACCATTGCGTAACACCATCAACAATTTCCTTTGTCAAATACAACTTTGCATCACATCCACACCGTACTGATTTCCGATCCCTGGGGTGCTCCACATTGGCCTTTTTCCTTGGTTGATTAAATCCAGACCGGTAACAAACAAAATCTCTTCTATAGACCCCTAAATTTTGACTTTCGGTTGAGCGTGCCTTCCTAATTGAAAACCCATTTTTTCTAGCAAAGTTGCTGTAGTATTCAAATGCTTCATCATCAGTTTTAAATATCTGACCAACATATGGAGTGAAAACATCTGATGATGATGACGATGACGATGCTGTCTCGCTCTTTACCAGTTGTGACCCTAATGTCGTCTGATCATCTCCTTCACATTTAATATAGCACTTCCAGTCTCCACATGGACATTGCTGGCGTCGAATCCAAATGTTGTTCAATGACTTTGTTGCCATTTTGCATGACAAATCTACACAATATACCGGCTTTGAAGCCCTTGTTGCAATTTTTGAGCTGAACCCTTTACGCCACACAAAAAAAGAAAAAAAATTAAAGCAACAAAAGTCCTAATTCAAGCTCAATAAGTAAATTTGGTTTCACTCATACATTGCATTTACTAGACTAGAACAACATTCTGGTGTTGCCCAACCCTTTTTTTTTTCGTATGAGGGTTCAAATTGCAACAAAGAAAGCAATGAAAAATCAAAAGGGTTAATTTCTCTTTTATCCAGCAATCAATTATCATTTTGTTTATTTCATCCCTAAACTATCAATTTCATCTATTTAGTCCATGGAATTTCTGACTTTACAGTCTAATTAGCTAATTAGAAACACCCGTTCAAACCAATAATGGTATAAACTAACACACTGTCCAAAGAAAGTAATTTTACAATTTAGATAACCTAAATAATACAATCAAACACCCATTTTCTTACTCACACTGTATTCGACAACTTAAACCCTACAAACAAACACCTATCTTCTTCTCCACTCCTCATTTCAAAATAGTGAGTAAGAAAAATGAGTATTTGGTTGTATGGTTTAAGTTGTTCAAATTTTTGCCCATCAACGGTTACTCATTTACACAACAGTCCCCCATTGAACTACTGAAATTAGAAACTCCATGTCTAAATAGATGAAATTAAACGAAAATCCCAAGTAAAAAGTATCAGATTATTCAAAATGGGTAAATTTTGAAACAGATAAGAAACCAAAAGACAAACAAAGAAACTATAAATTAAACCCATAAATACACTTAATTGATTTTTGTTCTATAGTTGGACATTGTCCAACAGTACTAGATATTTTTGTGGAATTCCAAGTTGTGACAAATGAAAGATTCGGAGGTTCCATACAAATGTTAATAGTAAATAAAAAAATAATAACTACAGTTTATTTGGGTCTAAAACGAAGCTATGTAATGAAATTGAAGTGTAATCACATACCAGGAAGAGAAAGTTGGAATCTTGTAGAGATGATCCTATAAACCCTTAAGGAACCCCTTTCCGATCTTTCGTGTTCTTCGCGCTTTGGGGTCTGCCATTTGCTGCAAAGAAATTGGATATCCATATGTATGTATATGTATATATATTTGGATTAATTGTATAAATACTCATTAATTATTAATACATATTACTTTACCCCCAAATCTGTATATTTGTACATTTTAATCATATCAATTATAAAAATATAGCGGCTTTGGTCCAGTCTACCATCGGACTAGACTGTGCTGTTGGGCCCGTGGGAGCTCACCACGAGTCCCGTTTTAAAAATCTGAACCGTTAATGTGTAGAACTCTTCGAGTACTATATGCCTGTAAAAAATCACGTTGATCGGATATCAATAGCTATGTGATTAAATCAATTTTTTTGTCAACTGTTAATTTATTCACCGTTCATTTTTTTTTATACAAAACTGATTTGATCACATAGCTATCGATATCCGATCAACGTGATTTTTTACAGACATATAGTACTCGAAGAGTTCTACACATTAAACGGTTCAAATTTTCAAAACGGGACCCGCAATGAGCCCCCACGGGTCCAACAGCGCGGTCCAATCCGATGGTGGACTGGACCAAAGCTTGACCCAAAATATATCGGGTGAGTTTGGTTTGTGTTTTGAAACATGTTTTTGAAAGAAAATTTTCCAAAAACGTGTTTAGTTACAAATTTTTTCAAAAAAAAATTCAAAATTATTTATCTTTTTATTACACATCAATTAATCACTTTTTCTTTCTCATCTCTCCTTTTCAATCACTTTTTTTCTTATATATATCTACTTAATTATAACAAAATATCAAATCATCCTAAATTCTAAAACTATTTTCAAAATATATAACCAAATAAATCAAAATAATTTTAAACTCTCTTCCCAAAATTCTTTTTTGAAAATTTATTTCAAAATACAAACCAAACACACCCATCATTTTTAACCTTTTAAAAAGAGTATACTTGTACGATTTTCATAATTGAGTATTCATTCATAGGTAACAAATAAAATAATATTTATTAATAATTGAGAGGTATTTGTGTAATGAACTCTATATATATTTTGAGAAATTATAAACAAGTAAAATAATAAAAAAAATAATTATACTATAAATATAATTTTTTGTAATACAACTCTGACATACATATAAAAAATTTACACAATAAAAAAACCTTATACTATACACACAAATTTTACACCACCATAAAAATATTTCCTGTCTAATGTCCATGTGAATGTGAATGTCAATGTTGGGCCATTTCTTATGGGCCCTTCTAAGGCAAAAAAGTTAGCCAATGATCCTCTCCCAAATTCTATTTTATCCAATCCTAAAATTCTCATTATAATTAAATCATGTAAAAATTGAAGTAGGAAAATCCAAAAATTTAATTTAAAAATTATAAAAGTATTTTAAAACAAGAGAATAAAATATTCAGTAAAAAATTATCCAAGATCTCTGACTTGTCCTATTTTTATAAGTCAATTGTTCACGAAATCTTGTTCCTATTAATCGGATAACAAAGTAGGTTGATGTTTCATCGAGTTTTGCCTTTATGGGGTACGATATCAAATATTAAATTCTTGATTTTAATATTACATAGTTAGTTTGCCTTTTAAAATTTTAGTTTCAAACATTAATTAGGCATAAAGCTAGTAAATGGATGTTGAATTAAATCTTAGATGTTGAGTCTCCAGTTAACTCAACATTGCCCGTTGTCATCATTTCACATTCTATTAAACTAATTTGGATTGAAAATTGAAAGAGAAATTGCAAAACTTGGAATGTTTCATATGGCTTATCTATTCAATTTCATAATAAAATTGAGCAAGCATGGCGATTTTAATGTATAAAGGAATGTAGTCAAAATACAAATATTTATCACTCCTTCCTTGCTGCAAATATTTATCACCATTTGTTGCAAAAGATTCTATACAAAGATTTTGGAAAAATAGTATTTTTCTTAAGAAAAAATAATCAATAAATCATAAAACTAAAAACTCAAAATCTAATTCCACAAAGAAATAGCTTCTTCTTTTTTTTTCGCGCAAACATGAATATTTCCTTTTTAAGGCCACAAATGCCTGCTAATCTGATGTACAAAGAACAAATTTTCTGCTGGGGAGAGAAAAAGGGGTTAAGATCATGTGTTTCAGCACCTTCTACAAACTTAAAAGTACAATTTGGGCGAATCAATCTGAGCGCAATGGAACATAATACAGTTACACACTGATTCTACTCTAAACAAGATACAATCTTAGTCCACATCTATAATTGGATCCGATTCATCGGAGTCTTGTGTTAATCAACACCAAGAGAGGCCTCTGTACATTGTGCCTGAAACACCTCCTTGTGAACCCACAGATACAAGAATTTCAACCAAAAGAGTACATGTACCAAAATTTTCCTGGGAAAAAAGACCGAGAATGAAGCACTGCATTCTTCTGGTAATACCCGCTTGGAAAAATTTAATGAGATAAACCCAGTTCGCCAAGTAAGCAGCATCATTTACAGAATCATCCACCATCCCAAGTAATTGTTCATCCACTCTGAGCTATTTAGGCACCCTTTTCACCCAGATGATGTGGCACTGACTAGGTCATGTGTGAAGATGGCTGTGAAGATCGTTTGCCTTTTCCTCAGGATGCTTCGAGCTGTTGGCTTCGTTGGCGATTTGTCTGCTCAACCAATGGGAATTCTACGAGAATTATGAAGGATGATCTCTCTGCCTCTCTAAGATATTGGACAGTGCCGTTCATGATCTTTACGAGCTTTTGGCTGATATACAAGGCAAGACCCTCTCTTGACACACACTGGTTGTGTTGAAACATCTCTTGAATCAAGTCTGGTGGGATCCCCGGGGCTGGATGGGTGATCCTGCCACACAAACCACGTAATCAGAACCAAAAGTTGTACCGTAAACCTCTTACTAGGTATAGATAAAATGAATAGATTTAAGTACCAATCTACATTTGGAAGGTACATATCATCTCTTGAATAGACATTATTGCAACTGGAATCATCATGGAAGGATGATAGTAAAATCAATAAATCTCCATCTTTAAAAGTCTATACCTTACACCGACTCAGATACAAGTGTCCGGTACAAATGCATATCTAAAGGTCAGACCCATTAACCCTAAAATTTAAGGATACACGAACTTAGGGAAAAAGAGTCATAATTTTATAATTTTAATTTATTATGGGAGAAAATTATGTTATATACAACATCAAAAACGTATTTTACTTATTTTATAGCAATTATACAATAATATATACATATAATGATGGTGTTAAATACAAATATCTAAGAAATGTCTGATAAAAAGTATTGGACACATATCTTACACCCTCGTTCAAGTGTTGAGTGTCCGACATAGATATTTGATTTATTTTAAAGAGTCCATGTAATATACTTGATCATCAGATGCTCGACAAACAATGGACTTGTACATAAGAAAGAAAATGCCCAATTCACAAAAATATGGAAAGCATTAATCATGATGCTCGACAAACTATGGACTTCTAAATAAGAAAGAAAATGCTCAATTCACAAAAATATGGAAAGTATTAAATCATTACTTTTGCCATCAGTTTCTAGTAACGTTTCAATATTCTCAACACTCTTATCTATTGGTCCATCTTTGTCATTGGCCAAATTTACACTGTTCTGTAGTTTAGTTTTATTTTTGATAAGTAGACACTGTTTTGTCGTTTATCCCTCAAGGTAATAACTGAACCAAACCAATTACTACGGAGACACACTCTCATCTATTGGTCCATCTTTGTCATTGGTCAAATTCACGCTGTTTTGTAGTTTAGTTTTATTTTTGGTAAGTACACACTGTTTTGTCGTTTATCCCTCGGGGAAATAATTGAAACAAACAAATTTCTAAATACACACTCTCATCTATTGGTCCATCTTTGTCATTGGCCAAATTTATGCTGTTTTGTAGTTTAGTTTTATTTTCGATAAGTAGACACTGTTTTGTAGGGATGGTCATGGGTCGAGCTTGGGGCAGTTTGTAGTAACCCACTCCTGCGCCATATCATATTGGGGGTAGCGGGGGAGGGACAGAGACAGGTACAGAGACGAGGACGGGGGCGGGAGACAGATTAATTTTGTAAGTTCAAAAATAAAAATATTAATAAAAATTATAGATAATATGATATATTATGGATAATGAATTAATGTTTTAATTTTAATGTTTTAATTTTATTATAATGAAAAAAGTTAAATTATATATTATATACATATAAATATATTTAATAAATAAAATCAGGACTGGGGTTGGGTAGAATGGGGTGGGAAAGCAAAATCCACCTCCGCCCCACTTTCTCATCGGGCGCGGGGCAGGAGAAATGGTCCTAACTTCATTATCACACAACATAATCCCCAAACTTTCCATTCTGAACTTCAGTAAAAATAAGAAATCAATGTTGAAAAGTAGATAAAAGGCATTGCCAAGCATATTGCAATAACATGTGTAATATGATAAATAATCGCATAATAGTATATGCATGTATAGTATCTGTGTCCCCACCATATCTTTGTCTTACTTTTCCAGAATCTTTTGATTTTATTTATCTCACCAATAAATCATAAAAATGGTGATAACTGATAATTATGAAAGAGAATTTACCGAAACTCAAGATGAACGACATGAATTTTTGTTCCTATCCGTTCCTTCCTTGGAATCAGCTTGAGCAGAACTGAGGACTCTTCAAATGCAGGAGTGAAAATGACAGCGGTTGTTAGAAAATCTGAAAGGACTTGCTGAAGCCTCAAGTTGTCGCCATACAAGAACATGGATGACACTTCGGCTGGTGAGTCATATATGATCTGCACTTGCCGCTCCCGACTCAGAGTCATGGCTTGATTTATGACCACTTCCAGAACATCCCCGAGATTAAATTCACTTGAGTTCATTTCCATATAGCTAAAAATAGGTTTCACAAGGATCAGAAGTTGTCAAATAAAAATAAACAAATAAATAAATAACTGAATATGAAGAAACAAATAACAACTGCACCAATCCAAGAAAGGGTAGTTTCTATGATGCACGCCAAATGTCAGACAGCATGAAGATTACTACTTAGAGGCAGGAGTATTTCACATTTAAAGCCAGACGTCGGAGACTCGGAGCACTCGATATACACAAATAATCACAAAGAATCTAAAATCAATCTTGTACACAAATAATTTAGTAATTAGTAAGTACGTGTTTGGATCATGGGTTTAGGTAGGGATTTGTAAAGAAAAAAGAAAAGGCGAGAGAAATGAAGAAAATTTTAGCTTATATTTCATGCACATTTCCCTCACTTTTTCCTTTCTCTTTCCAAATCATTACCCAAATCCATGATCCAATATGAATCAAATGTCATTTACATTTATGAGGTCTCTTTAATGGATATCTCTTCTATGATTCTTCTTTCCTTTTCGTTCTCATCTTTATTTTCTTCTGGACCACCTTTTGTTAGTCTTGGTAATCTATATCTGATACTATCTCTATAGGGATCACATCAAATAATCATCTTTGTCATCACTATGTGGCAGCATTTTCCTTTTCTTGACACAAGACGGGGAGTGGGCTTTCTAAGAAGCATGTGGAAGTCAACTTATGAACAGGTTTCTACTATTAATTCTATTGTAAATATCATGGAGCCTCACCCAACATTTGGAGTTATCTATGTGAATCCTTGTCTCGATCTAAAGCATCAACTATAAAATCATCCTTCTAGTCCTATTACACTCCTTTGCTCTATTTGTCCCCTTTCAGATGCAATAATCTAGGTCAATGTTACCCACCAAAAAAAAAAAACACTAATTCCCTAACGAATTACATGGTGCACATTTTCATTCCAAAATGGTAAATTTCTTGATCCAAAGTAATCCCAAAATTTTTTTCAATATATTTTCTACAGGTTTCCTTGGGAGTAAAAAAATCAAGGGTATAATGACACCGACCACCCTTTTAGCAAGGCCAAATGGACCGAAACTAATGCAACAATGTGAAGAAATGGGGATAAACAAAGAAACATATATATTTCAATGTAAAAGATATGGCAACATTATTTTTTCATCTATATGACTATCAAATTATTGATTAGAAGGAGGTCTAAATGTTATGTGAATTTTATTTATTTATTTATTTATTGGATAAATAAATGGATTTTATTAGAAAAGCATCAAGATGATGCAAGGAATACAAAAACCACCCACAAAAGGCCAACCAAACTATCTAAGTAAATCTTCCACAAAATCTACAAAAACCAAAACACTTGGATCGGCTAAACCCGTAACCCAACTATGTAAAACCCGCAACAACTGACTCTCAGGTTAGGAAACGGAACGGCACTCATTCTGAAAAACACGCCTATTCCGCTCCAACCACATCAAACAGTAAGAAGCAAGAACCCAAGCCTTCCGACACTGCTTTCCCACCCTAGCCCCACCCCAGCTTTAAATCACATCCAATAACGACCCCGGTTGCACCCAAACCATCCCAAACAAAGCCACAATAGAATTCCAAAGTTGAGACGCAACTGGACAATGTAAAAGCAAGTGATCCACCGTTTCCCCATCCCTACAGCACATGCAACACCAATTAACCAGAACCTGCCCCCGCCGACGCAAGTTATCACTAGTCAAAATCTTCTCCAAAGCAGCAATCCAAACAAAGAAAGCCACCTTGGAAGGTGAACCCGTCACCCAAATACTCTTCCAAGGAAACACTACCCCACTCCCCCCCTCAAGCATACCATAAAAAGAAGGTACTAAAACACCCCTTTAGATCTCGAACAATCCCACACCAAAGAGTCCGCTCCATCCCCCCCATCCTTGACACCATACAAAACGCCCAGCAAGTCCACCAGTTGATCCAACTCCCACTCTTGCACATTACAGCGATGGTGAACATTCCAAACAAACACCTGCCCCTGCCTAATTCTAACAGACTCCACCAACTCCTCCCTATCCGCAGCAATAGCATAAACCATAGGAAACATACTCGCCAAAGGCACCTCACTACACCACCGATCCTACCAAAAGCAAGTCCTATCCCCTTCCCCCACCTTAATTCGAGTCCTATCCCAAAACTCCATCCACCCTAGCCAAATCCCTTTCCACAACCCACAACCATGAGGATGGACCACCCCCTTTGAGCACCACCCCCCTCTGGCCACCCCATACTTCGCCACCACCACCCTCCTCCATAACCACTCCCTCTCCATAGCAAAACGCCACAACCATTTCCCTAAAAGAGTCCGGTTAAAACCCACCAACCTCCTAACGCCTAAGCCCCCCCTCTCCTTTGGAATACAAATCATATCCCCAGCCACCAAATGATAATGAAAACCCTTGCCACCACCACCCCACAAAAAATCTCGTTGCAACTTTTCCAACCGCCTAACAACCGCCACAAGAATCACATGCAACGACATAAAGTATGTCGGAATACTAGAAAGGACACTCTTGATCAATGTGAGCCGCCCTCCCTTAGACAAATACTGTCGCTTCCACCCCGCCAACCTTCACTGCACTCTATCTACCACCCCATCCCACACCCCTATCGCCTTAAAGGTAGCCCCCAGAGGAGCAAGCCCCTGCCCCATCTTGAAACCCGTCAACAAACCCCCTTGAACTGCCTTGGACAATAAATGACTTAATGCCTCCATCACCAAAATAAACAATAAAGGAGATAGAGGATCCCCTTGCCGTAATCCTCGCCATGTAGGAAAAAAGCCCGCCGGAGTGCCATTAACCAAGACTGATAACCGCACCGTAGAAATGCAAAACTGAATCCACTGCCTCCATCACTTCTCATAACCCATCCGTTGAAGCACATACAACAAAAAATTCCAATTCACATTATCATAAGCTTTCTCAATATCCAGCTTGCACATACTCCCCACCTTCCCTTGCCGAACCCGTGAGTCCACACATTCATTAGCCACAAGCACAGCATTCAAAATTTGACGACCCCTCACAAACGCATTCTGAGACTCTGACACCACCCCCTCCAGGACACCCCGAAGTCGATTAGCTAGAACTTTAGCCAATAATTTGTAGACACTACCCAAAAGACTAATTGGCCGAAACTCTCTAATATCCTCCGCCCCACCTTTCTTGGGAATCAAAGCAATAAAAGTAGCATTAAGACTCTTCTCAAACTATCCCCCCTGATAAAATTGATCAAATACGGCCATCACTTCCGCCTTCACCACCCCCCAACAATGCTGGAAGAAGGCCATGGAAAAGCCATCGGGCCCAAGGGCTTTATCCCCGGACATACTTCTTAACGCACCCCAAACCTCCTCCTCCGCAAACGGGCGCTCCAACATTAACACCGCCTCATCTGAAATAGTATCAAAAGTAACTCCCTCCAAATCCGGTCGCCACCCTTCCCCTTCAGCCCTAAAAAGATGCTGGTAGAAACTCACGATACCATTTCGGATATCCACTTCTGAGGAAAGCAGCACCCCATTGACCCACAACCGCCCTATCTGATTCACCCGCCAGTGAGCATTTGCCATTTGATGGAAAAATTTAGTATTGCGGTCCCCATCCTTCAACCACAAGCACCTGGACTTCTGACGATAACTAGTCTCCTCCATCCTAGCAATCCATCCATAATCCTTCTGCACCCCCTCCCGACACACCACATCATCTGCCGACAAGCCCTCTCTTTCTTCCTTCTCATCCAACCCCTGCAAAATCGACAAAGTACTCGCCTTCTGTACCTACAACTTACCAAACACCTCTTGATTCCACCATTTCAAATCAAATTTAAGCAATTTTAACTTTTGAGCCATTCGGGTACTAGGCAACTCGACCACACTATAACTCCCCCGCACCACTCCTTTACCATCTCGCCAAAACCTTCGGTCTATAACCACATATTCTCAAAATGAAAAGGCGTCAGGCCACGCCGCACTCCCCCACTATCCAAAAGGACAGGCCAATGATTCGAGACCGGACGCTGTAATCGAGCTTGGAACATCTAGGAGAAATGCTCTTCCCAATCCCCCGTGACCAGGAATCTATCAATACGAGACATTGCCCGACCTCCGGACTAGGTATAACCCCCTCCCTGCAATGACATATCAATCAACTCCATCGTATCAATAAAAGAGGAGAACGCCTTCATCGGCCTCGTCACCTGCCTACCCGCTGTCTTCTCTTTTGGACTCCACACAAAGTTGAAATCTCCACCTACACACCAAGGCCTCTCCCAACAAAAAGCAGCAGCCTGTAACTCCTTCGAAAAAGCCTCCCATTCCGATCTCCTGACTGGCCCATACACCCCCGTAAATACCCAACGAAAATCATCATCCACACATCTGAACAGACAAGATAAGGAAAAACCTCCCACCTCTACCCCCTCCTGCACCACCACCCGATTATCCTAACACATAAGAACACCACCTGCTGCCCCAATAGCTAGTTGGAAGGCCCAATCCACATGCCTACCACCCCAGATATCCCTGACAACATCCACCCCCACACACTCCATTTTGGTTTCCTGAAAGCACACCACATCCGCTCTAGCACTCTTCAGTAATGATCTAACCACTACCCTCTTTCCTTTATCATTTAAACCCTGCACATTCCAAATCAATATTTTCAAATGCATGGCAACAACAAATGATCTCCACGCCCCTTCCTCATCCGTCGACCAGCCCCAATCCTGTTACAATCATAATTAATGGAGCACTCTAATCTACGTAATTCCCGGCCTCTTCTATCCTTTTGGCATGTGCTCTGTAACTCTTGCCCCCCTGACACACCCCATCGTCATGACATCTCAATGGCCGAAAACAATTTCAAAGCCTCTTCCTCATGCCTTTCAAAAGAAACACCCAAATATTTGCTAACCTCAGCAATTCGAGCCAACACCCACTCAAAAACCTCATCCGACGTTGGTGGCTTCTCTGTCTGGAAATGCACCTCCGAATCCTGCTCTGTATCGAACTGAGAGATGGGCGCCACCATTTCCCCAGCTTCCACTGCCAATGGCTGAAGGACTATAGCTAGACCATCACCAATCTCGGCCCTACCAACCTTTGAATCTGCCCCCTACTCTTCATGGTCCTCCTGACATCTCTGCTTTGCCCTACCGAGCTCCTTCCCAAGCAGCGGAAGTGAAGAAGTTAATCCACCAGCCACTGTGTGCTGCCCATGTTGCAACGGCAACGTGGGTGTGTGCAGCATGGTGTAACGGCAACGTGGGAGACCCCGCTGGCCTGAGAGGCGTTAACGTGTCGTCCGTCCCCGACATTGGCGCCTCACCGCCGTTATTCCAATGGCCCGACCCAATACCAGCGTATAACGACCCGAAAACCTGGTCTATCGTCGGGTTCACCTGTGAGCCCACCTTCCTTGCTAGACCAGGTAATCCTCGAGCTAGGGCTTGAGAAGAGTTCAAAAACCCACTAGGCCGCACAACTGGATCTCTAGTCAAAGAAACTGGGCCACATGCATAGGTACCCAAGTGGTAGAACCTAAAACCCCCTGGCCCAACTTAACTTGAGAGGCCAAGGGGCCCAAATTCCCCTGGCCCAATTTATTGATTAAAGGCCTTGCATATGATCTGCCCACATACCCATCTCTCAGACCCTCCTTTCTAAAGCTAAGACTTTTCCTAAATCGTCCATACTCCCAATTTCGTCGATCTTTACGCCTCCATACTTAGGTTTCCTTATTCGTTACAGTCGCCAGCTGGGAAGCTTCAACCGACGGCCCCGACTCCGGCCAAACTGGTAGCGAGTACAATCACTGACATTGAACAAAGATCCACATTGAACAAACCTACCCTCTCCAGCAAATACTGTATCACTTTAAGCTTCTCTCTTAATGATAAAAATCTACCACTACTAAATATTTAGCTTTTCGTTCCTTCCTCCAATATATATCTCCATCTTGACCAACTATCGATCGTTTGTGGTCTTTGAATCTACCTAATCTAAGTTTAAAAAAATCTTCATCAAATACATGGATTTCAAACAACAAAACTCCTAATCTTAAAATTATTTGTCACTTTTACTTCCTTGGTCACATTCACAATATCCTGCTATTGCTCGTGACTGGTGAGATTGAACTTTACATTGTTGGTCCATAAACCAAGCCTTAAGTCCCATCAAATGGGGTCAGTTACGTGAATCCTTCTTCTCCATTCGACTCTATCAACAATCATTTGGTTAGTCAAATTAAGATCTCTATTTACTACACTTGCCCACGTCAATCTAGATCTGCCCCTTCCCTAATACTTCCATCTACCGTCATTGTATCGCATCTCTTCACTACTGCCTCTGTTGGCCTCTATTTTATCTAACCAAACCATCTCAATCTATTCTCTCTCAACTTATCTTCTATCGGTGCTACTCCTACCCATTCACTAATGTACTCATTCCTAATTCTGTCTTTTCTAGTCTTGCCACACATACACCTTAGCATCCTCATCTCAGCAACACTCATCTTATGTACATGTTATTTCTTAGTTACCCAACATTTTGTCCCATACAACATTGTTGGTCTATCATAAGAAGAAAAAAAATCACCTGCAACACATTCATGAACTTGTATTTTATTATCTACAAAGCAAGATTTAAACAATGAAGTGTTTGGTTATTAACTAATGTTAACTCCAGCCTGCCTCATACATAATAATATATTTCAAGGTTTAACAAATAAATAATTAAAAAAAAAAAAAAATCTATTATGTAATCAACTACACAAGAATTAGAACGAGTCAGAAAATTGTACCTTTCCTCAATACTCTCAATGTCAGTGTCATCAACAATCTTGGCTAATTGTTCCCGACACAACGTGCTCGTCCTCAGTAGTTGCTTCTGCTCTTTGCTTAAAATAGAAGATGCCATTAGATTCTGCATAACCTCTATCCCATTTAAAGGGTTTTTGATTTCACGACGAATATAAGCCAATTTCGTGAGGCTATTGGTTGCAGCCTGTTCTGATATCCTTTGCACTTGCAATGCATATTGAAGTTCAGGACTAGCCACGTGCAAAAAGCATAAAACCCCAGTAATCCTTCCCTCTGAATCAATCCTTCTGTTAGCAGAAAGTAAAGCCTCAACACAGTTACCCCGCGGATCAAAAAACCCAAATAACAATTTATCTGCATCTTGGCCAGCAATTACCCCATTCAGTAATATCCGCAGCTTCGTTAACGTGTCCTGATCTTTGAGCCGACAACCGAAATTGTTGACTGTAAAGACCTCTCCTAGAAGCATCCGATCAGTGGCTTCTTCTCTCTTTACACCAGACAATTTTTGCATTACATCGTTCCACTCCAAGCATCGACCATGCTCGTCCATCATAAATATTGGAGGAATAAGTGCACAAGGGTTCCGTACAATTCCAGCATAATCACCTTGAATTCGAGTATATTTGTCCATGATCATCTTTTGCCCAGTAATATCTTGCCCAACAAAGCAAACCCCAACAATATTTTTATTCAAGTCTCGACTACAACATGCATTAGCAACCAAAATAACAGGACCATTGTTTTCCTGATGACCAAAAGTTTTAAGCTTAATTTCAATATTTTGCTCTTCTGTACCTGCCATTTTGATATTAGAACAGATTATCAAGCATAGATTTTTAAAAGAATAGAAATATATGAAGGACATGTAGTTTGACAGGGAGAGACATGGAACTCAACAATAATAAATTATAAGACACATGGAATAGCAGAAAGTTTAATTGATCAAAATTATAAAAACCTACTGCAATTAATAAAAAAATCATTGACTACAAATAGAGGATGTATCAAACAACTAGTTACAAGAGCGATAGACAGAACTTGACTCTTCCATCTAGTCACTTATTTTTTAGCATCTACCTAAAATTGTACAGACTTTTTATACAAAATCCAGTAATTTTATGAACTATTTAGCAACAGACTTTAGGAGCCATCAAATAATTTGCAGAAACATGAGGGATTCAAAAAATATTATGATATTCTATCAACAAGAAGTCAAAATATTTAGTCACCTTGTGAAGCCAGGAAGAGCATGTTTTTCACTACATCAATTGAATCATTCACCACAAGATTCACAAAAGGCGCGCCAATGGCTTCCTGCATACTTAACCCAGTTAGCTCGGCTATTTTAGTATTCCACCCATTAACATTACCAGAGGCATCAACAGCCAAGATGGGAACCGAAGCTGTCTCAATAAGACGAACCATTTCGTTGGTAACAACACGAAGCTCGTCCACCCTTTGTATACTGGTGTCAACCGATGGAACATTCACTATCAATTTGGAATCATCCATGACCGCATCTTGCAACGACCCTCTCAATATCAGTTGCAAGGAATGGATCGCATCCATTTCCACATCTTCCCACGGTAAACTCCGCCTTTTAACCACCTCGAGAAAAGCCTTAAATGATGATCTGGGGTGCATTTTTCTTCCATCATCTTTGTCACTAGGATCATGTTTTGCACCACCCCACTTGATCTCCTTTGCCGCGTGGGACCGGAACCAAAAAAGGAAGTCCTTTCTTGTAATTTTCACAGCAGCCATTCCACAAACAGCATCACCAAGGATGGAAGCGCCCAGATAACCTGCTTCCATGAGGCTATCAGTACTTAACCCTGTACTCTCACCGTGGTACTCAAGAAGCCAATCGGCTACATCTCTGATTTGTGGCTCTGAAGGGGTGACCCCAAGTAACCAAAATTTGTTCCCGTAGTACAATGCTGCTCCATCACACTTAACAAGATCCATAACATTGGGCGATTGAGTGACGATTCCCATAGGAGCATCTCTTAGGAGCATATCACAAAGCACTGTTTGTGTCCGCAAAATATGTTTTTCCCTTAGTTGAGCAGCCAACTCCACTTCCTTGTTAATCTGAACGCCAAAAACTTGAACCAAGAACTCGCACGCGCATCTCAAAGGAAACGAAACAAACCGAGGGCTTGTGTGATGACAGACCACCAAACCCCACAACTTTCTTCCCCTTTGCTGATCACTCTCAGTCTCATCACCTTCCTCGTTGATTGTGACCGACATCACAAGAGATGCGAGAGAACCCATATTTGTCATATATTGAGTATGACACCCGTGTGGAGATCTTAATGTGGATCCACAAAGACTCAACGGCTGATCCAATCTCTTGTCTTGAATAACTTTAACCGGAGGGGCCAGGCAATCACATATCATTCTGACCTTATTTTTCATGAAAAGAAATCTTGAAGCTTGTGGTATATCAGTAGAAGGATAATGCAATCCAAGATAAGGTTCCAATTCAGGTCTGCGGCACTCAGAAACAACTTCCCCGTGCTCATCTTCATGAAATTTATACACCATTACTCGATCATAACCCGTCAAATCACTTAATTCCCCCACTAACACATCACATAACAGTGATATATTCCCACTTGGCAAAGACTGCAATCTTGATATGGATTTGGCTGCAAGCTTATATGGTTTTAAAGCCCCAGCTGCTGTCACTGGCACATCAGCTGGATTGACAGGCTCCAAATCTATAACTAATCCCACATCAATGCGATGAAGAATTGCATAAAAGGGCTTTCCTGAATTTCTACAATGAACCAATACCGGGTTAATGAGATTAATTTCCCCGAAACTCGCTGCTTTTTGCAGTGCAGCAGCGCTTGAGGATCGAAATAGAGTCCGAACATCAGTTCCAAATGTCAGAGCTTCTTTTTGCTCAATGCTTGGAACTGCGTGGGGGGACAATTCCAACATTTCTATGGCGTTTTCACTGTATCCAAGGACAGCGAAATTCCGCTCATCAACAGCAATCATACAACCAAATGGCTGGATTAGACTACCTCTTTGCATTTTCTGCAAATAAGCAGATACAGTAGAAGAGGGGACATTACCTGTAGAACTCGATACATTAACATCAACCGATGTGGATTTATCAAATAACCCTCGTTCCGACTCTTCAAAGTCCACATGAAGCTTAGCATCGATGGGCGTCTGTGCAACCACACGCGCATCGTGCTTTGTTCGAGCAGAGCTGCTCCTGGAACAATTCGTCTTGTTTGTGGATTTAGATGACATTTCTTAACTCAAATTCCACTTCAATTCCACTTCTACTTCTTATGACCTCTCTACAATAGACTGATGGAATCTTCCAAAACAAGACAAAAAACCAAAAGGAATTCAAGTCCTTCCGACATGGAATCTCCAAAGATGTGCTCAATACCAAATAATTCACAGAATAAACTCAGATCAAACCAACCCAAATCAAATTAACAAACAGTATCTACCAAATTTAAGAGGGCATCATGAAAAAGAAGAAAAGAGACCAACTTTTTCTCTCTCCACAACCCACGAAAAAGAAGGTGATAGAGTTCAAACCCATCCCATGATTCGATTCGATTCTCTACCCAAAACCCACCAAAGAAAACAAAAGGGTCTCCATAAATGGATTCTCCAATAACTTATCTAACTAGTATTTCACCACCAAAAAAAAAAAAAAAAAAAAACCCCCTACATTCTACACCCCCAAAAACCCCCCCCCAAAAAAAAAAAAAAAAAAAAAATCAAAACCACCCTACAAACTACAACTCTCAAGATCACGACGCACACAATCAAACCCAGAAAACAAAGAAGAAAATTCTACTCCAAATGAGAATTGCAGGGTATAAGAAGACGAATTCTAAATCCCAAAAGGATCAGCACAAAATTCCAAACAATAATCGGACTAAAATAACAAGAGACGAAACAGGGACACTGGAGAGAGAGATGGGTGAGGACTGACCACCTTCAGAATCAGGTTGCAGGGTATGGATCGGGAACACGTGAAGCCAAGCTTGCTTTGTCGAGCTTAGGCTAAGTTTGGAAAGAATAAATAAGTGTATTTTTTGATTTTTTTTGTATTATGTGTAAAAGAAGTAGAAAAGAGATGTTGATTGATGTGACTTAAAAAAGATAAAAAGATGAAATAAGTGTACTTTTTTAGTTTAGCCAAACCTGGCCTTACTCATGAATTTGAGAAAAATTTGATCCTCTGTTTTTTTTGAAAAATTTGAAAAAAATCACAATTCACATATATAAATAATTATAAATACAATTTATATATAACACATAATTTATATATTAAAAAAATTTAAAATAAATATAAATATTTATAATTATTTCGTGGACAACACGGTGATAGGTTAATATATATAAAAATACAAATACAAATCTGTACATAAAAAGCACATTTCGAAAAACCGAGACCTTGCTATATATAGATAAGAATGCGGATGTCACGCAATGTTATTGTGATTAATGAAAAATAAAAGTTAGTTTACAATTTCATATAAGTTGATTGAGGATCCGTTTGGTAAGTAAGGTTAGGGTTAAAATAGTCACAAAAGATAAAATAGGCTATTTTAGCCACAACAAACAAAACATCACATGCAATCTATAATCATTACACTCTTCTCTCATAAAAAAAGTCAAAAAAGTCAAAAAGTCCTTCCCAAATTAAGCTTTTTAGCCCAGGTTAAAATAGTTAAAAAAACCAAAAAACCAACCCAGTTCCCAAACAGAGGCTGAAAAATAATAGAGAAATAATATTTTATGATTGGTTAAAGATATAAGGGTGAAATATTAATAAATCTTAAAATATAATTTTGTAAATGGTTTATTAGTCTTTCATTTTTTTTTTTTATAAACTTAAAGGTATTATTAAAGTGAAAATTATATAAAAAGGTAGTCACTTTTATGTTTGGATTTAATTTTTTAGGGATAAAAATGATTTTTCCAAAATGTAAAATTACACATTTGGACAATTTACACTATAGAAGTTTTGAATTTTCTCTCATTTTAGAACAAATTACACATTACGAACAAAAACCTAAACTTTAATGTAGCACTCCAATAACGTAATACTTCAATATAACACATTAAAAAATCCATTGGTGTATTTTTTCCAAACGTAACAACATAGCACTCAAAAAAATTCTTTGGTATACTTTTCCTAAACGTAACGCTCCAATGTAAAAAAAAAAAAAAACTTTTAAAAATAATTCCTTAGTATAATTTTTCCAAACGTAACACTTCAATCAGTGTAATTCCAAATGTAACACTCCAATGTAACATACTCCAATGAACATGGAAAAATATTAAAAAAACTTTTTAGTGTGCTTTTTTCAAACATAACACTCACAGTTTGAACGCATATATTTGTTCAAAATTTACTAAGAAATATTTGTACTCCTTTTGGAATGGTTTGAAGAATATCACATTTTTTTTTTAGTGTTACATTGGAATGTTACGTTTAGGAAAAGTACACTAAGAAGTTTTTTTTTATGTTACATTAGAGCGTTACGTTTAGAAAAAGTACACCAAAGAGTTTTTTTTATGTGTTGCATTAAAATGTTACACTAGGGATTTTTTTTCCTGTTATATTGAAGTGTTATATTTGGAAAAAGTACACTAAGAAATTTTTTTTAAATATTATATTAGAATGTTACATTTAAGAAAAGTACATTAAGAATTTTCTTTTTGTATTACATTAGAGTATTACACTAAGGAAATTTTTTTGTGTGTTACCTTAAAGTATTACACTAAGGAGTTTTTTAGAGTTTTATATTAAAGTGTTAAATTTGGAAAAAAATACTCCTATATATATTAAGAAGTTTTTTTGTATGTTATATTAGAGTGTTACGTTAAGGAGTTTTTTTACAGTGTTATATTATAATGTTACGTTTGAGAAAAGTATAGTAAAAAATTTTTTTATATGTTACATTATGGTATTGCACGAAGTTTTTTTTTTTTTTAGTATTAAATTAGAGTGTTACATTTAAGTGTTACATTGGAATATTACAATTTAAAATTATATATTTAGCCAAAACTTACCAAGTAGTTTTTATACTCCTTTTCAAATGTTTGAAAAATCACACATCTTTTTAGACTGTTTGAAGAATCTCATGTTTTAAGTTATTTTTGTATTCATTTTGAAATTTTTTCAAAATAAAAATGTTTTTTATATAAAAATTCATCCCAAATTTGATTCTCATATATTGTGTACCTTATCTTTCTAGCAAAAAAAAAAAAACATAACAGAAATAAAGGTATAACTGTAAATCTAATTTTTAAATAATATATTAAACTACCTTTTCAAAATTAATGGGACTAATTAGTCTATAAAAAAATTCTTAGAACTAAATGAATACCATTTCTCAAAATAAAATTTATAAGTAAATTTTCTTTTAAATAATCTAACTTAATGAATGAAAATATTATTTTTATAATTTAAACAACTTAAATTTTGCGGTTAATGATCATCTATTACTCTTGTCATGTTAGTATTTTTAAGGGCAAATTACATATACCCCTCGAGATTTAGTAAAATTACAAATACTCCCCTGAAGTTTGAAAAATTACAGATACCCCTTGAAGATACTATTTGCATAACAAATTAGGGGGCAAATTGTTATGAAAATATAAATCTTATTGCTTCATTCATCCAATAGAAAAATATTTTAGATTCAATCTATATAACTCAATTGAAACATACACAAAAAGTATTTTCAATTGGAAGATAAAAATGATTATTCCATATAAAAATTAATAAAAAAAATTAATTACTTTCGCTGATTAATTACACTATAAAAATCTAGTTATTTGATTCGCAAGGAATATCAAGCTTCTATCGTGCTCGGAGTCTACAATAGAACAAGATATTATACAGAATAAAATTTTTTTCCCAAAAAAAAAAATAAAATAAATCAATCAAAATAATCTGACATTGAAACCATGATTGAATCATAAAATGTATATAAAGAAAACATTAGGGTTTCACCCCTAACCTTAACAAAGAAAATTTAGAACATCATCAAAGCAAAAGGAAAATAATATGTATTAAAAGGTGCTTTTTTTTCTCGAAATTAATTCCCCTCTCCTGCTGAGGCGCAAATTGAGGCAAATTCCTAGCAGTTCCAGCATCATCCATCCAATAGGATTTCTTTATTGCTTCATTCATCCAATAGAGCCTTGATTCACGTGAGATCCTTCTATTGGTTGTGTTAATTTAACAAACCACCTTTCCATTGGCCTCATTATGTTTTTTGCTGAGAATTAAGTTTGACTTCAATTTGCCCTCTTCTTTTCCTTATCTTGCCTAATCCTTATCCTTATTATGAATTATCCTACATAAAGTAAAATTATATCATTAATTCACAATTAAAAATAAATTGGGGGAATTAATTTAATAAAGGTGCCTTAATGATTAAAAATAATAAAATAATTATACATTTTTAACCATTCATCACACCTTCCAACCAGCTTATTGCTAGTCCCTAGCAATTAAGGCGATTACAAAAATATAGTTCTTAACAAAAAAATGTAAACCATTTTCATAGGAAAAACGCGATTGCATTTAGTATATGCAATAAGGCTTTAAACCTCTACGTTACCCCTAGTGGACGAGTTAGGCTGTGTTTGGTTGTGCTTTGCAATCATGATTCTACACCTTCATTCAAGTATCATGTTTGGTTAGAGTTCTCAAAACACATTTCAAAAACTCTGCAAAAAACACTCTGGGTCAGGCGCGGTTTTCGAATTTTTTTTTTCAAATTTTGCCTAACCGGTCGTCCCACCGGTTGACCGGAACAGTGAATTTTATTTTATTTCTTTAACAATTTACATATGTTAATTTTTATATATTCAAAAAAAATATTTTTCGAATTTTTAAAAAATTTTTATGTATTTTAATAGAATTTTGAGTTGTATGTTTGGTACTGAGTTGTAAGTTTTTCTATCAAATATCATATGTCACATCAAAAATTTCTCACTCAATTCAAAACTCTTCACCAAACAAATTTTTCACACTCAAATCATAATTCTAAAACTTACAAACTCAAAATACAACTCATACTCTCAAATCATATTTACTAAACTCTACCAAACGCCACCTTATAGTCTCGTGAGAGTTTTCAAATATGATACCCACAAAGATCCAAAAATTTAACCTCAAAGTCTCCCGTATTCACATGCACAAAGTTCAAGAACAAAGTCATGAATTTCATTATACTAACAAAAGAATCAATCAAATTCTTAGCCTCAAGATAAAATGTAACTCAATTGTCTATCTAAAATATGCTTTGACTCCAATCTCACCGGATTTTACACTCAACAACTGAATCACTCAGAATATGGTGTAAATATCACTTTCAATATATGTGAGCAGAATAATGTAAACCAAAAGCAAAATTTCTCGCATATTAAATTGGTTGAGAAATGCTCATAAGAAAGAGTAAATAAATAGTCTCATTGAATGAATGCCAAATACTGAGAATTAAAATTCACACATTATTAACTATCCATCATGTCCATATCCAAACCATACCATTCCTAAGATCAAATAGGGCTTTTATTTGGTTGTAATGTAAGGGTAAAGGTGGAGAAAAAAAAATAAAAATAAATGAAGGTTGAGGTCTTCAGAGTAATGAAGATAAATATAATACAATTTAGGAGATTATTGCAGATAGTTC